TTATTGATTTTGTTTATATATTCCAACTAAACTGACTAGTCTTGACTCAGAAGCCAAATGATGGTGGTGGTGGTGGTGATGATGACGACTGCTATTTATTGAACACTTACTATGGGACCACATATCTAAGTGCTTATATGCATCATCTTAACTTGTAAGGTAGATACCATAATTACCCATATTTTGTAAGTGAAACGGAGGACTAGCATTGTGTTTTGTGAAGACCATACAGCATAGTGACAGAGCAAGAATTTTAATCCAAGTTGTCTGATTCCAGAGGTCAGACTTTGACTACTACACTGTTCTCCCTCACAGACAACATCTTAACAGACACCACTGGAGCACCTTTTAGTTTATATTCAGTGAGCTATATATTCAGTCAGCTAGCTGACCCCATGTTGTTAAATCACTACTGTGGGTTTTTTTTTTTTCTGTACCAAACTGAATTCTCCAGTTATCTATATATTTATGTCCCTCCCTGTAATTTTACTCATTCTGTTTTTTTCTGCCTGCAATGCTATGTTCACCTTCTGCCTATTTATCTAAGTTCAGTTCAAATGGCTTATTTTCCATTGGGTTTCCTGTTATTTATTCCCCCCTCACTTAACTTGTTCTCCAAGCTGCTCTATAGCACTTGTCACTTCATGTTGTAATTATTATGTTTTATCTCCCCTGTTAGCTTATAATCTTGATTTCAGCAGCTATGTATTTTTTCTGTCCCAATGCCTTGTGCAATGCATGCTTTCAAATATTTTTCTTTATTAAATTTCTCTTCAATAAATATTTTTTCAACAAGTGAATTTAACTGTTACTCATATACCATTAACCACAACGTTTTTATAATATGTGTTTTTTTGTTTGTTTGTTTTATATATATTTTTTATTGATTTTCTACAGAGAGGAAGGGAGAGAGATAGCTAGAAACATCGATGAGAGAGAGTCATTGATCAGCTGCCTCTTGCACACCTCCTACTGGGGATATGCCCGCAACCAAGGTACATGCCCTTGACCGGAATCGAACCGGTCAAGTCCCCAAGCTGACACTATCCATTGAGCCAAACCGGTTTCGGCTAATATGTGGCTTTTTAGTGTGCCATTTTCATTTCTATATGGTTCAGTAATTCATTCTATTAATGTAGTGTGTGTATGTGTGTGTGTGTGTGTGTGTGTGTGTGTGTATAGAGAACTAGTGAAAATGTTTATGATGGGGGGGGCGGTTTGGAGATAATTTATAGGCTAGTTTAAGGTACTTCACTTTGACCCATTTCACTGAATCTAAGATGCATGTTTTTTACATACTGAAATTTCCAATTGGAACAATACCTAAAATTCGAATTTTGTTTATATTCTTAGAGGTAGGCTGAGGTCTTGATAGGTTTTGTTATCTTGTTATTTCATTGTTACTTAAAGGACTTTAAAATGAGAATGTAAGAGATAAGGGTTTTGTGTTTACTTTTTTTAAAAATATTTTTATTGATTTTTTACAAAGGAAGGAAGAGGGAGAGAGTTAGAAACATCGATGAGAGAGAAGCATCGATCAGCTGCCTCTTGCACACCCCCTACTGGGATATGTCCACAACCAGTGGACATGCCCTTGACCGGAATCGAACCTGGGACCCTTCAGTCCGCAGGCTGACGCTCTATCCACTGAGCCAAACCGGTTTTAGCATTGTGTTTACTTTTTTAATTGGAGTAAAGGGAGAAACTTATTTTTGAATAAGTAGGATTTTTAAAAGAAATGTATGAATGTAGACTTAAGCAATTCAAGCAGGATTCCTGAAGTGCAATATTATTTATATAAAAATGGAAAACAGTACCGTACCTTCGTAAGGGATATATACAGATGCTGTAATATTGTGACAATATATACGGGAATCATAAACACCAAATTCAGGGTAGTGGTTACCTTTGGAGGCAAGGTAGGCAGATGGAATGAGGGGGAAGATACCAGGGGGTCTTATATTGTTTACTTTCTGTGCTTAGGGGTGGGAGGGTGGGTGTTTGTTACATTGTTCCCTGTACCTGCTTGTCTTTTGGAAATACAGTTTTAAAAATTAGAGGAAGCCCAGCTGTTTGGCTTCCAATATCCAGGAGGTCACGGTTAGATTCCTGATCAAGGCTCATGCAAGAGGCAGCCAATCAATGATTCTTTCTCATTGATATCCCCACCCTTCCTCTCTGAAATCAATAAAAAATATATACATATATATTTTTTAAATGAAGGTAAGTTCTTGTTGGAGCATCAACCTGTACACCAAACAGTCTGGGTTTGATAGCTGCTGACCACATTACAGGTGCAATACCCACTCAGAGTGGGTGTGGGAGGCAGCCGTTGATGTCTGTCTGTCTGTCTGTCTCAAAAAAATTAAAATTTTCATTAATTAAAAAAACATATCCTTGGGTGAGGATTAAATATTTTTTTTTATTCTGGCCAGCTTGGCTCAGTGGTTAAAACATCAACCTGGGGACTGAATGGTCTGGGGTTTAGTTCCTAGTCAAGAGCACACACCTTGGTTGCAGATTCCCCAGCCCCAGAAGAGATGTGTACGGAAGGCAACAAAGTGATATGTTTCCCTCACAAAGATGTTCTCTTTCTCTCCCCACTTCCTCCCTCCCTTTCACTATTTCTGGAAATCCATGGAAAAATATCCTGGGGTGAGGATTTAAAAAAAAAATTACAAAAAAAAAAAAAAAAAATGAAGCCTGGGCCGAAACTGGTTTGGCTCAATGGATAGAGCGTCGGCTTGGGGACTGAAGGGTCCCGGGTTCGATTCCGGTCAAGGGCATGTACCTTGGTTGCGGGCATATCCCCAGTAGGGAGTATGCAAGAGTTTCCCAAACATTGTATGGTAGTTAGGACGCTGATCGATGACTCTCTCCCATCGATGTTTCTAACTATCTCTTTCCCTTCCTCTCTGTACAAAATCAATAAAATATTGTATATTAAAAAAAAATGAAGCCTGGGGTGAGGTGAGGGTGGGGTGGAAGGGTCAAAAAGGGAGAAAATGAGAGACATCTGTAATACTTCCAACAATAAAATAAAAATTAAAAGTGAGATGAAGGGATTACATGTAGGAATATAGCTATTATATAAAACTTGCATAAAAGGTTTTGTTTTTGTTTTAAGTTAAAACTGTACAGTTCTCCCATCCTTAACTCCCTGGTCCCTGGTTTCCCTCCCAGGAGCAAACATTTAATCCAAATATTGCAGAGACTTCCCAGGGCCCCTTGCTGTCTAATCCAAACTGTTCCCTTGGCTCCTCTCGTTTGTGTGCCATGTTCTCTGGGAGGTAGAGAGGGAGGACATTTGAGTCCTGGAACCCATTGCCCGAGTTTGAATCCCCTGCTCTGCCGCTTACTAGCAATGACCTTGGGTAAATTAACTCTCTGCTGATTCACTTTCATCATATGTAAGATTTATTGAGTAGTCCCTTTTTCAGAGCTGTACTGAGAATTAAATCAGTGAAATATTGCCTGACACATAGGAAGCTCTATATAATGTTAACTATCTTTATTATCAATCACTGAGCTGTCTGCTCCTCAAGCTATTGCCAATGTCCAGACAGCTAATCCCACACCGCACTCACTCACTTGCTTATCCCTTGGATTCTCTGGCTAGGAAGGAAACTTCAGTCCCTTTTTAGGTCTGCTTTTTCAGAGGAGGTTCTCCCAGCCCCCCATGATGCCCTCCATACCAACTGCTTTCTCCCTAAAGCTCCAGGGCTCTCTGAACAGTTGGGGTGGAGAAGGTGGTGAAGCACAGCCTCCCACCTCTGGAACCATAGTCTTCTTGAATGCCCTAGTACTCACACTAGACTGCTCTGCCAGAATTCTTTTGCAGGTTCTTCCTCATGCATGATTTTCCCCCTGAGACTAGTGCACCCATCCTGCATTCTACTTCCGTCAGGACTCTCCGTACTTAATGGTATATGTGTCTGAATCCAGTTAAGATCAGGGTTTAGGTTCTTTCCCATGAGACTTCCATGCCTCCTGTAAATCAGGAGATGTGGTTTGACATCTATTTTAAGGGCTCCTGACCTTACTGTGACTGATGAGTTTCCCAAACATTGTATGGTAGGTGCTTTTCACCTAACTTCTCATTTAGCTCTGAGGCAAGGATCAATATCCCATTCCCATTTTTCCAGTGAAGAAAACTGAGGACTAAAAACATTGTGGTTGCATAGATAAAAGAGGACAGGCCTTCCTTCTGCTCCTGTGTCAACTCATACCTTCTTACCAGATGAAGAAAAGCCATAAATATTTATGGTTTCAGCAGAGTTGATACCAATTGTCATATTAGGAGGATTTAGTGTTAACTAAGTTTGGGGTGAAGTTAATAGAAAATTGTTGACCAGTATGCTGCACAGCTGAAACGAGTGAGAAGGAGAGGGAGAGGAAGAGGGAGAGGGAGAGGGAGAGGGAGAGGGAGAGGGAGAGGGAGAGGAGGAGGAGGAGGAGGAGGAGGAGGAGGAGGAGGAGGAGGAGGAGGAGGAGAAAGAGAGAGAGAGGGAGAGAGAGAGAGAGAGATCAATTTGTTGCTGCACTTATTTGTGATTCATTGGTTGATTCTTATATGCCTTGACTGGGAAATCCAACTAGCCACTCAGCCAAGGCAATACAAAATAATATGGAATGTAAACTAATTTAAAATAAAATAAGAAAATTGTTGCCTTGGCTTGGTGGCTCAGTTGGTTGGAGCATTGTCCAATACACCAAAAGGTTGCTGGTTCAATCCCAGGTCAGAGCACATACCTAGGTTATGGGTTCCATCCCTGGTTTGGGTGCATATAAGAGGCAACTGATCAATGTTCCTCTCTCACATTGATATTTGTCTCTCGCTCCTTTCCTCTCTTTCTAAAATCAATATCCTCAATGAGGATTAAAATAAAGAAAATATTGAATAATTTTATTTAAATGTACAATAGATCTCCTTGTACTCAGGCTTATGTGAACTGTAGCCAGTTTTGTAAATAAAATCTTTATATTCTCCTTTTCCTCAGAGTCACAATGGACACAGCTAGCCATAGCCTTGTCCTTCTGCAGCAGCTGAACATGCAACGAGAATTTGGTTTTCTGTGTGATTGCACAGTTGCTATTGGAGATGTTTACTTCAAAGCCCACAGAGCAGTGCTTGCTGCTTTTTCTAACTATTTCAAGATGATATTTATTCACCAAACAAGGTAAGGATGTGCTTTTGTAAATCTAAAGAGTTTTAATACTATGATATGTCTAACCTTATTATAACATCATTTGGGGGATTCTTGTTATGAGGTCACATAAAAAATGTTATATATTTTTTATATATCAGTAATTAAATGCAGTGTGAGGGATTCATATTGGAAGATAAGAATAAAAACAACAATAGCTCAAATTTATTGAAGGATTATTTTATACAAGCACTGAGTATTTACCTGATGTAAATTATACTATTGTCCATACTATTTTAGAGATAGGAAATCAAGGCTCAGTTGTTAAGTAACTTTCCCATTCAGGATTATACAGCTACTAAGGCTAATAAGTTTGACTCAAACGTAGATCTGTGCTGTTAAAGGTCTGTGCTCTTAAATACTAAGTTGTTGATTTTTATTCCATAACACTTTCATATCAAGATTTCGATGTCATAATTCTGTTCACCTTATACTCCATATTACAGTTCAAAGGTCATTTGTTTCAAATATTTTTTCTAAAAGCTTTTTTGAATATAGGTTACCCCAATAGAATAGTTATGTAGGCAGAGGGCTGAGAAGTGGTGGTCATATTCTGAGCTCTTGATAAAGAATAGCTTTATTCTATCCTACGTTGAAAGTGATAGAACTGTCTGTGATTTTTTTTTAAAGACCTTACATGAAATATCTAGGATTTCAGCCTCAATTATACATTTTTAATTTTATTTATTTGCTTTTTGAAAGTTGATTTTCTCATTTTTTTTAAATCCTCACCCAAGATATGTGTTGTTTTTTAATTGATTTTGAGTGAGAGAAAGAGAGAGAGAGAGAGAGAGAGAGGGAAGCATCAATGTAAGAGAGAAACATCTAACAGTTGCTTCCCATTCATGCCCCGATCTGGAATCAAACCCACAACCTCTTGGTGTATGAGATGATGCTCCAAGCAACAGAGCTACCTGGCCAGAGCTCAGTTATACATTTATTTAAATTCTTCATTCATTCAACTATTGATTGAGCATTTACATGTTAGGCACTGTAACAGCCCCCAGCAACAAATAAGTTATAATCTGCCCTGGAGAAATTTGTAGTCTAATAAAAGATAATGCATATAAAGAAAATAATTGCTGTATAATTGTTCTCTCTGTGCCTCAGTTTCCTTCTCTGTAAAACACTAGAATAATGCACCCACCCATGGTGTTGATAAAAATAAGTGGATTAATAAAATTAAGATTCTTAGAACAGGAGCTTTGCACCGTAAGTTACTGTTGTTAACAATGTAGTAAGCCTACAAAAGAAATGTTGCACAAGGCAGAGTGGAGAGTCGGCAGCCCTGTTTTGAGAAGATTGGAACAAGCTGTACAGTGGTCCTAGATTTTAAAGGATCAGGAGTTGTTTTACAGATGTTGTAGAAGGAAGAAAGAAAGTTTATTGAAGGTAGAGGAAAACATGCATGAAAACATGCAGATATGAACCAGACTAGATCAGAATGATTGGAATGTATGGCACAAAGTACCGAGGATGTTAGAGTCGGAGACAAGTAATGGGTAGCCTTTTCTGCCATGCCAAAGAGTTTCCTCTCTGTGAACTAGATTAGAAACACTACCTTCAGTCTAATTTGAGAGCTATGGGTTGGCTCACCTCTCATACCTGTTGTGTACCCGGTACCTTGCTAAAGTAAATCCAGGAGATACAAAGGTGGCAGCCTGCTATGTGTTATCTCTTGAGCAATTGAAAAATCCTCAGATAACAGAGCTCTGTGCTGATATTAAAAAAACAAAACAAAAAAAAACACCTGCCACAGATTGTGGATATGGGTGGGTCAAAGCTAAGAGTGAAGCTCAAGAGGGAATCCCAAGATCTCAGGACGAAAGAAATGGATTGTCAGCATACTGACACCAGTGCTTTCTTTTTTTTTTTTTTTAAGTGTAGTTTGTTGTTGTTTTTTTTAAATATATTTTATTGAGTTTTTACAGAGAGGAAGAGAAAGGGATAGAAAGCTAGAAACATTGATGAGAGAGAAACATCGATCAGCTGCCTTTTGCACAATTCCACTTGGGATATGCCTGCAACCAAGGTACATGCCCCTGATCGGAATCGAACCTGGGACCTTTCAGTCCACAAGCTCTATCCATTGAGCCATACCGGTTTCGGCACCAGTGCTTTCTGATGCACTCTTACAAACTTTTGCTTCAGGGCAGGGGAGTCCATGGACCGATTCCATTGTTCCTTGACATCCAACACTTCCCTCAGGTTGTCTTTATCCTAATTTTTCAGGGTGTTCCCTGATTTCTTGTTACACAGTTATTTCCATTTGTTATCTGAATTCTAGACTCATATGTAAAAAATGACTTTTGAACTGTAAAATGGAGTTTTTAAAGCTTTCCAAAGTTATCCCTGTATCCACTTGTGATTTAAAGAGTATATATATATATATGTATTAATATAGTTTGGAAGACAAAATAAGGTTAGCATAACTTGATTTCTAAATATTACCAATTTCAATACACCCTTTAAATTTTTTTAAAAAATTTTATTGTGATAAAATATATGTAACATAGCCGAAACCGGTTTGGCTCAGTGAATAGAGCATCAGTCTATGGACTGAAAGGTTCCAGGTTTGATTCTGGTCAAGGGCATGTACCTTGGTTGCAGGCATATCCCCAGTAGGTGGTGCAGGAGGCAGCTAATCGATGTTTCTAACTCTCTATCTCCCTCCCTTCCTCTCTGTAAAAAATAAATATAATATATTTTAAAATATAAAATATATGTAACATAAAATTTGTCATTCAACCATTTTTAATTGTATAATTCAGTGGCATTAATTACATTCACAATGTTGTGCAACCATCACCACTGTTTATTTCTAAGACTTTTCATCTCTCCAGAAACTATACCTTTTAAGTAACAATTTCTCACCACCACTTGCACAGGCTCCTGTTAACCGCTAAACTACCATCTTTCTCTATGAATTTGCCTATTCTGGATATTTCTTACAAGTGGCATCATACAAAACTTGTCCCCTGGTATCTGGCTTATTTCACTTATCATATTTTCAAGGTACATCCATGTTGTAGCATGTATTAGAACTTCATTCCATTTTATGACTGAATAATATTCTATTGTATCTATGTGACACGTTGTGTTAATCCATTCATCTGTTGATGGACCCTTGGGTTGTTTCTATCTTTTGGGTAATATGAATAATGCTGTACTGAACATGGGTGTATGGGTATTTATTTGAGTTCCTTTTTTTGGTTATATACTCAATAGATTTTTTTAAGTTCTTTAAAAGCAGGATACCTATTTTATTTGTAATTTTTCTGCTCTCTGGCAGCTAGAATCACTTAGGAGTCACTACATAAACATTGAACTATTCAGGATATCTGTCTATTTCCTAACTTTCGGCAATAGATTGGAGACATGGAAACTGGTTGCTCGGCCATAAAACTGGTACCCAATGAAACTTTAAACTTTTGTTGCTGTCTTTCATCCAGGCAGATTGCTAAATTTGAGCTTCTTGGGAAAAAATTGCTTTATCCTAAGAGTATACTGTTAACTAAAAGACTAACTAGGTTGTTTCATTTTGTGTGGGTCTGTTTTTTTTTTTTTTGTTTTTTGTTTTGTTTTTTTTTAACAGTGAATGCATAAAAATACAACCAACTGACATCCAGCCTGACATATTCAGCTATTTGTTGCACATTATGTACACGGGGAAAGGACCAAAACAGATTGTAGATCACAGTCGTTTGGAGGAAGGGATTCGCTTTCTTCATGCCGACTACCTTTCTCACATTGCAACTGAAATGAATCAAGTGTTCTCAGCAGAGACTGTGCAATCCTCAAATTTGTATGGCATCCAAATCTCAACAACCCAAAAAACAGCTGTCAAGCAAGGGCTGGAGGTCAAAGAAACTCCTTCCAATAACAGTGGACACAGAGCCGCTGTCCAGAGTGACCACCCCCAGTTGCAGCTTTCTCTTGCTATTGGGCTGGATGATGGCACTGACCAGCAGAAGGTCCATCCTGCAGCCCAGGCCTTGGAGGAACCCCAGAAGCCTCCAGTGTCCATCAAGCAGGAGAGAGGTGACCCAGAATCCGTGATCTCCCAGAGCCACTCCTCATCCTCATCCGAGATGACAGGCCCCACCTTCACCGAAAGTGGTATCAAAATTCACTTATGCCATTACTGTGGAGAACGTTTTGATTCTCGTGGTAACCTAAGACAACATCTCCATACCCATGTATCTGGCTCCCTCCCATTTGGTGTCCCTGCTTCTATTCTGGAAAGTAATGACCTTGGTGAAGTGCACCCACTTAATGAAAATAACGAAGCTCTTGAATGCCACAGGCTCAGCTCCTTCATTGTTAAGGAAAATGAGCAACAGCCTGACCACTCAAACCGGGGTGCCACAGAGCCTTTGCAGATCAGTCAAGTGTCTTTGATCTCCAAAGACACAGAGCCAGTAGAATTAAACTGCAATTTTTCTTTTTCAAGGAAAAGAAAAATAAGTTGTACCATCTGTGGTCATAAGTTTCTTCGAAAGAATCAATTGCTGGAACACATGTATACACACAGAGGTAAATCTTACAGATATAACCGATGCCAAAGGTTTGGTAACGCATTAACCCAGAGATTCCAGCCGTATTGTGAAAGCTGGTCGGATGTCCCCCTGAAAAGTTCTCGCTTGTCGCAAGAACAGTTAGACTCACCTCGTGCCTTAGAGTCAGAGCTCACACAAGAAAACCTGGACACTATCCTGGTTGAGTAGCAGTTTCTTCAGAAATAACAATTCTGACAGAATTCACATGCATTTTTTTAATTCATAAATTATTTTCCTCAAGTTCTGTTAACTTTTTCTTTACTATTTATCCATAGTTTTAACATTGTTGTAAGATATTAATTCATGGTTTTAAAATAACCTTCAATGAAGACTGTGAACTTCTCATAAATTAATTCACAATTTAGAAATAAAAAAGTCAATGTAGTAATATAGAACTTTAGAATAAAGAGTTATTTATAGAATTGCTAAGTTTTTCCAGGTTGTAGATTCAGTAAAACCAAATTAATATGAAGTAAATGAAATATTTTTTAAAGAATACTCTAGACTGGTACTTTTGCCTAATGTTTTACATGAATAAGCCCCTAGAGAATTATTTTAAAATATTTTCTGCCATATTGGAAATTGGTAGTTATTTTAATGCATAACTATGTTACAGTGTATAAAATATGTTTTAAGCATAGCTATACCAAATTATTAGTAGTTGTTAAATTATGTTTTACTTACTGGCTCTGCAACATTTTACATGGCTTTTATTTACCTTTTAACATTGTAAGCATACCCCATTTTTAATAGAAAATATTTTAGTTAAAAAGAGAGAAAAGGAGAAAGGTCAGACATAAAAAATACTAAAGAGTAATAGTAAGGTACATACACAGAGATGAAGATATGAGATAGAGATTCAAATAGATCTGCATTAACTAACACCACAGTGTTATTTGCCTAATCCAATGTTTTTTTTTTAATTTTTAAAAATTATTTTTTATTGATTTCATAGAAGAAGGGGGAAAGAGAGAGAGAGAAACACCAATGATGAGAAAGAATCATTGATAGGCTACCTCCATGCCCTCTACTGGGGATTGAGCGCACGACCCGGCATGCCCTGACCAGGTATCAACCATGACCTTTTTTAAAAATATGTTTTTATTGATTTCATGAGGAAGGGAGAGGGGAGATAGAGATAGAAACATCAATAATAAGAGAGAACCATTGATTGGCTGCCTTCCTCAGGCCCCCTACTGGGGATCGAACTGGCAACCCCAGGCATGTTTCCCTTGGCTGGAATCAAACTCGGGACCCTTCAGTCCATAGGCTAACGCTCTATCCACTGAGGCAAATCAGCAAGGGCATCAGCCATTACCTTTGAGGGTTAAAGCTCTTGGTAGCATCAGAGTTCAGTCAGGAAGGAGCTCAAAGAATAATCCACTTCATTCTAAGGGTGCAAAGGATTTCTCTGGGTAAATTGAGGTTAGCTGAATTATGAAGAGGTAAGTTTTTCTTGAGGGTTGAATGAATAAAACCATTGGGCATTGTCTAAAGGAGTGAAGTTTCTACCTTAGACAAGTGAGTAAAGCTTCCTGGATCAATTGTATTGTAAGTGGTTAAAATAAACGCCCTTTGGGGTCAGAACTTTAATTTTATCAATATATATATATATTGATTTTTCAGAGAGGAATGGAGAGGGAAAGAGAAACATGAATGATAAGAGAGAGTCACTGATCAGCTGCCTCCTGCACACCTCACACTGGGGATTGAGCTGGCAACCTGGGCTTGTGCCTTGACCGGGAATCAAACCATGACCTCCTGGTTTGTAGGTTGATGCTCAAACACTGAGCCACACAGGCTGGGCCTTTGTCAAATGTTATATTTAAATCATTTAAGTAATTATTCTAATTCATACTTCCCTCAAACATTTCATCTTATAAGATGAACACAAATATTAACATTGATTTTCATGTCTTTTAGGCTATTTAGGATATATTTCTTAGTCATCTTCAAGTAAAATTTTATTTTTCTCATTTTCATTGTTTTCATACATTTTCTCTGTTCTTTACTACTTCCTCAGTCATTGGTCCTTGACACAAAAAGTTTGTGTCTAAAGGATGTGATTAGGATACATATAAGTTATGGGGTGGGGCAGCAGTTCAGAGCAGGGTCTGGAGAAATGGTAAGAGTTTATTTGGGGTTGATTGACCATGATAGACATCATAAATTTAAAGCAGAAACATATCTACATTTGTGGGGGTTGAGAAAATAGTGGTTAACTGTATTTTTATTCTTATTCACATAGTTATTTTATTAGGAATTCAAAGCAAATGTTCTTTCCTTAGTCTTCATGATACTCTCTGATTTAGGAAGTGGAAAAATATTAAAATATCTCCAAAGCTGGGTTCTAGAGAACCAGTGGGAGGTGGTATGGGAACTGACCCACTTAATTTGTTTTCATTTGTTCAACAGGCATATTTTTAAAGTAACTGGTATGACTTAACACTGTGCCCTGAGTGTATTTTTTAAAGACATTATTTTTCACTTAGAAGATTTACTTTGTATAAAGGAAGTTCTTTCAGCTAAAGCCTTTAATTTTGACTATCATCTGTAAAATAGAGCTAATAATTTTTAGCCATACATAATGGTTTGCATCATTATTACCAAACTAAAAACTGGAAATGTATGTGCACCATAACCAATGTATCAGGCAAATATTAAACAGACATTTCCCCCTTGGATTAGGTTAGAAATTTTCCTTCTTTTCCAGATTCTACAAATAGTTTTTCCCTGAAGAAAAACATACTATTTCAATAATTGTCTTTATTAGCATATTATAAGAATTCACTATCTGATAAGTACAGTCTGACTCATAAGAAAACAAGAATTTCTTGATTTATATTATATCTTTTGAAATTATTACTTCTTGCTCTGATTTTCTGTCTGTAAAATAGATATAAGCTATCGCTACCTCACATGTCTGTTGTGAGGATTTGAATTAAAACTGTGTTAAGCTCTTATTATTATTGATAAAAAAGCAGTCACATAAAGAAAACTATATGTATTCTACTAGTATAGTTGAATCTAGTAACTTAAATATTCCAACCCATACATTCTAGAACATCTTAGAAGCAGTCATGTACTATTCAACACTCAATAATTAACTAACAATATTCCTGTTTTTACTTTTTACAAATATTCCAGTATTCTTTTTCTACGATAGCTTAATCATTAATATTTTTCTTTAGATTTTACCAAGAAGGATATTAGTCCTTTTTCATTTTGGGAAATAAACATCAATTTCAGCTTTATTGAAAGTTTTTCCAAACATATTGTTTATACCTAGGAAAAGAAGAAGAGCAATGGTAAAATATTTTCATTTTTTTGATCTAAGTAATCTAAAAGGTAGATGGGGACAAGAAATGGAGTGGTAATTATAACAATAATTCATTATGTTCTATTAAAATGGTATTGGAAAGACTTCATTTAAAACAGAAGGAAACACATATAAATCATGGAAAAAGAACCTGAAAATGTATAATTCCACTAATGTTGATTTGCACAGGCATATATAGTCTTGATGTAATTGAAATCATTGATAAGTACCGATTTTTTGTAGTAATTGAAGTTTTCATAATATAATCTGTGACTTGGTATATTTTAAACTAAGGGTAGTTCTGTGGCATTTTATTATATTTAACTTTTCCATGTCTAGAGTAAAATCTGTAAATGAGTATTCTATGCTGTACTTCTGTGTTTGTATGGCTGGACTTTTTGAAAACAGGTGAGATTACACAGCCCCAAACCTGGATGTCTTAAATACAAGGAATCACACACTATGATTGGTGTCAAGACCTTGAAGAATCCACTGTGCTTCAGGATGTCTCTGTGCACTTGATTACTTAGTAGAAATTGCCTCAGTGCAGTTGACATAAACTGTCATCAACTCTTCTATTTTGTGCCAAATAAAACCATCAGATATCAACTTAAATACTTTCACAGAAACTTGGATGTCAAACATTTATACAAGAAACAAGGCCCACGGAAGAAATTCTCAAATACAAGTAACACAGCAAGATACAGGAACCTGAAATCAATAATACATTGTATGTTCTGTGAGTTTGCTTCAGAAACATTCTTTTTTTTCTTATAATTTTTTTTATTGTTTGAAGCATTACAAATAATAGTACATATGTCTCCCTTTTCCCCCCTTAACCACCCTTTTTCCCCCCTTAACCTCCCCCCTTTTTTCTCCTGTACCCCTCCCCCCCGAATATGCCTTCACCTGCTCCCCCTCCCCGTGCTTTGTGTTCATTGGTTATGTTTACATGCATGCATACAAGTCTTTCGGTTGATCTCTTACAGCCCTCCCCCCAACCTCCCTGCCCTTCCTGCTATAGTTGGACAGTCTGTTCAATGAAGAAAAACAGTGGGTTTGATGTATCTTATGAAAAATAAATTAATGTGACTTGATCATAAACATCTTTTATTATCTCAGCTTATAAAATGTGTTCTTATTTATAATAGTACCTACTAAATACCTTCCTAGTGCCAAGGTAAGTGGTCTATGCCAGGTAACATTTTGGATGTGTGATGCAAAAGTGTATCAGTGAGCCCAGTTCTTAGCAACAACAATCCATCCACCATTTCTGGAAAGAAAGGTAATATCTACACTTTCCCTAGAAGTGTAGAAACTACCTTTGCTTTTTTCTTTCTTTCCTATTTGCTCCCTACTGCTTCTCCTCCAGTAACAATCATATAAAACAGTGGTTCTCAACCAGGATGTATTAGGGTTCTTCAGAGAACCCAACAGGATGCAAGTGAGTGAATGTGTATGTGTGTGAATACCCCATGATCCAGTCAAGTTGACACATGAGAGATTGATTGATTATAAGGAATTGGATCGCCAAAAAATGAAGGCTGAGAAGTCCTAAGATCTACATTTGGCAAGCTGGAAACTCAAGAAAGTTGATGGTGTACTTGCAGTTCAAAGGCCAGCAGCCCCACAAAGGCAGGGAAAAAACCAACATCCCAGCTAATAGTCAAGCAGAAGCTCCTTTACTCAAGCAGTTTTCAACCTTTCTTCTCATAGAACACAAACTAATTACTAACATTTTTTGGTACACATTTTTTGCCGATCTGACAAAAAAAAATATATATATATAATTTTGACTTTCACCAGACAACTATTGTGTTGACTGATGTCTTTTCATCTTAAGTTATTTATTTTTAGAGAGAGGAAGGGAGAGACAGAAACATTGATTTATTGTTCCTCTTATTTATCCATTCACTGGTTGCTTCTTGTATGTGCCCTGACCTGGGATTGAACCTGCAATCTTGGCGTTTCTGGGTGATATTCTATCCAATTGAGCTACTGAGTCAGGGCAGTTGCTGTTGTTTTTTATTTGACAATCTAAGGGAGACTAGGTCACTGCCCCCGACTAAAATAGTAAGGTATTGCATGTTTTAAAAAATTCTTATAGCGCCTGGCTGGCATGGCTCAGTGGTTGAGCATCGACCTATGAATCAGAAGGTCACAGTTCAGTTCCCAGTTGGTGCACATGCCCATGTTGCAGACTCAATCCCCAGTAGGGGCATGCAGTAGACAATGATTCTCATTGGTGCTTCTATGTCTTTAACCCTCTCCCTTTCTCTCTGAAATCCATAAAAATATTTTTAAATAAAATAAAAATTCTTGCGGCACACTGGTTGAAAATTGCTGCCTTATTCTAAGAAAGGTCAGTCTTTATTTTGTTCAGGCCTTTGACTTACTGGATTAAGGCCACTCACTTTAGAGAGGGTA